GTTTGCTTGGGAAGCTACAGCAGCTTGGTGAGCAAAGGTTAGCTTGTTACTCTTACAATTTCTCTGATTTCTACAGCTTTCAACCCTGTATTTGGTGCCGTGTTTTTTATTTAATAACACTGTTTAGAAATTCATCTACAATAAATATTTTTCTGTATATTAGTATAAAATATATATGTTTATATATTAGTATCATTCACTTGCTTGGTTAGATGGTATGGATTAAATAGGAAAGCTTTTATATATGAAGTCATTTCAGAAGGCACGTTAATAAAATATATTTAACTCACAATTACAATTCAAAGGTTCCAGTGGCCATGTCAGAGGAGCCGAGGATGGCAACTGACTTCAGAATGTCAGCTCACCAGAAGGCAAATCACTGATGGGTGACTCTCACATAAGCAGGTCTTCCAGATCACAGACTGCAGAATATCTTTGCTTCTGCTATACCTATACATGTTTGCTCTGGCCATCTTTCTCTGGTATTTGGCATAGTATGAATTGGTGTGGGGAGATTACCACTGCTTGTAATGTAGTGTATTTATCTCATGGTAATATCCCATTCTACTGGTATTTTACTGTGTATTAGTATGAAGATTATTTCCTCCTAAGTTTTGCTGTTTAACTGAAACAGTGATTTTATTCAATAATAGTATTAGTTTAAATAGGATTGTGATGATGAGGTTGTTTAATAAATATACTAAAGAATTATGATAGAGGTTAGTTTAGTAGAAAATTAACATAGGTAAATGTAGGGCAAAATGTTGCCCTTGCCCCTAATAAAGAAGAGGCTCCAGAGGATAAAAAATAAAACAAGGAAGTGTCGCAGAGTTAGAACACATGAGTCCTATAGACTATGGCTTAGGTTAATGATTAAAAAAACAAATGAGTTCTAGGAGCTAGGCCGGCTGGAATTCTTTTAACCCTAATGTTTGGAGATGTTTTCTGGGGTTTTGGTATGCATCACAGATGAAACAAAGCTTAGAATGCCTTCAGGTAGATTAAGATATTGTGAGAAGCTTGGAGGTTTGGGATAAAAAACAAAGCAGCCCAGTTATTATTAGCTGATGTACTTTCCTTGTGAGGATTGGTTGGTGATCAAAGGTGATGATTCATTCCTTCTACCCATTTCTGCTCACACTCTGCTGATATAGAAAGCTATGGATGAGTGGAAAACTACCTTAAAAATTTAAGTAGGGCTGATTGATTATTTTTCATGTGTAAAAATTTTGGTATTTTCATTCCCTGTTAAAACTCCTTATAACATTGCCTTTCAAGATAAATAATAAAACGATTGGTTCTTTCTTTGCAACTGTAAATGTAGCTTGCCAGTAAAAAAAGAAAAGAAAAACTAGCTGAGGAAAATACCTTGCTTGCTTCCACTCTGTTAATCTATAACAAAATAACAAATTGCTTGGGTATGAATTTATCTGGGTTCATGGGGATAATTTTTTTCACCTGTGTTATGTAAAATGTTTACTCATGTTAGGGATATGGAAAACATGCTGCTTTTGACTTTTATTCATTGCAATCATTCACTTGAAAAATAAATGTAACTGTGTTGTAATTT